ATAAAATGTGAGTTCTTTACTTTGCCATTCGAAATGATTGCTACCGTTTATCAATTACAGACTCGCTTTTACAATTCAGATTGAAAAATTTATCGGATTTCGCCTAATCAATAGATTTGGTTGGGTTATCGTATTTGACTAGGCCTTGTTTGGGACGAAAACGCGTGGTTCCGGCGCCAAAACACTTCGAATTAACAAATTCGCTGACACTTCCTTGCCGGCTACGGTTTTACTCTTTTCCAACACTTTAGAAATGACCCCTGCAAACGGGAAGACATCTGACACGCTGTGGTTCGGAACGGAGCCAGGGCGGCCTTTTCCCACGAAAGATGCCATCGTACGCCAGCTACAATTGGGATATTCGCCTTGCTGCGCTTCAGGCCACGCCTCCGTAACACGCCCTACAGCATTGATGGATCAATGGACCTGTACATGCGTTCCGTTTGCGGCAATATCGTTTAGCGCCATTCGTCCCCTGTTGTTAAAGCAGACCTTTTGCCCTACTGCAGCGTTAAGCGTTTTCGCGCTAAAGTTGTTCAGCGGTCAACATGTCTGCAGAGATAAACTTGAGGCGAGCCTTCACTTCACTAACGAAGCTAATTCCAAAAATCGGTGGCAAAGCAAAAAGTGATGAGAAGGCGTGCGCCACACAGTGGATAATAAACCAAGGCTGCGTCCACACTTTGCGTCGGCATTTCTAGTGATTAAGAAGTTATAAATATCGCTTCTGCGTCTTCAGAGTAGTCCAGTTCAAGCGTTCCGTGGGTAGTTTCAAATTTCTTGCGGGCAGTCGCTCGAAACGCTGCTGCACGCTCAAAAGAGTGACGCGAAGTATGAGCGTTCCCTAAGATCTCTAGACTGATCACTACATTCATTAGGCGAACGAGGAATCTATCTTCATTTATTTAGAGCTTACAACTCAGCACGTCATGACGATGTTGCTGAGGTAATACAGCGGGTTTCTTCGAGATATCCCAATGCAAAGATGATTGGCTGCGGTTTTAGCATGGGAGGGTTGGTGTCCTTTTTCCCTCAATTAATTATTTATAAATAACTGTTTTTGTTCTGTTGAAGGATGGTGCTGTGGAATTACCTAGCAACTTGTACAGCGGAATCTGCTGTCCTGTCTGGTGCACTGATTGTTTCTGCTCCTTTTGATCCGTTATCTACAACAACTTCTTTGGAGGTATGAAGGGTTTGGTACTCTTTTTTTAGCAGATCTCTCCAGAAGACTTCTTGTTGCGTGATCTTGGCTTATCTTTCCAGCGTTTCTTTGCAAAACACGTATATAATCGGCACCTGACGAAGAAACTCGTATCATTTGCAGAGAGGTACGGTATTTTCACATTTCGGTGTTGTTTGCTGGTGGGGGCACGGAGTGGTACAGCTTGTACAAGCCACTTTGTCAAAATCTGTAGAGCCCGTTAACCTTCCGCTAACTCACACAATTCTCGCAGATTCACAGAACTTAACAGGTCTTACCAAAGTGCAAAATGCCCCCATCATCCGAATAATGCTCACGTTATTTTTTCTTATTGTGCCGTGGAAATCAGCATTTGAAAGAAAGCTGCCCTGTCGGCGAAACGTTCAGAATAGAGCGCAACACACACACACAAGTGCGAACATTATTGAGGCACGGTTATAGCGCTTTGGGTAAAAATTCGATTGCCGCTTAAGTGGCTGTGTGACTGTGGACTTTTGCTCTAATTTCTATGATGCAAAAATAGCATCCGTATGTCGGCTCTAGTATCGCGAACGTTTCATGTTCCTTGGGCGCTGTCCGACGTTGGGGAGAGGAGGGAGGGGGGGGAGGGGGGGTGGAGGCATTTTCCATTTTTGCTTCTTTCCGTTGACGTGATGAGCTATAAAATGGAGAACCGTGACACTTTGTGAAGCCACGAAATGATGCCAGCCAAAGTTTGTAGGACCACCCGTCAAATCTTGTAAAGCATACCTGTCAAGTTCTGTTAATTCATAGTGATATTCATTTCGTGGAGTAATCCGTAAGCTTACAAGAGTTGACAGGTTTCGCCAGAGTGACACTTGTAATGTGGAACTAGTGAAGGAGCGAAAGTGCCATATGCCCCCCCCCCCCTTCCTTCCGTCGCCAAACTGCGCCGTTCCTTGCTTTTTGTATTTTGTTGTCCGATTTTTATATGGTGATATTTTAGATATAGAGAACACTTTGAAAATCATGAAATGATGGACTTCGATAACGTTCTGAAATCAGTGACCATACGGGAGTTTGACACTCGCTTTACTGCACCACTTTTTGGATATGAGTCAGTGGATCACTACTACGATCATGCGGCACCGAACAAGAAGGTGGGTTAGATATATTTTTGCGCAGTTCGGCAGCTGAGAAGGGAGCTATTTTGCACTGTAAGTGCTTCCTCATTGTCGTGTGAGCTATCAGTCAGAGATCTGTGGAAATTACTTATCAGCTCTTTTAGAGAATTTCTGTCAATTTTTGTAAATCAATGAGCACGACTATGGGATGCAGCGAAAGAGCAAAATACCCCCTCGTTCGTCGCCGAACGATTCACCCCTACTGCCCTATTTTGTGAAACTTAGGTAATTACTGTGGAATTTGTCTAGGGATGGATTTAGCGGGAAATATGTCTTGGTTGTTTTCTGAACGCAAATATCATCTTTCTTTTGAACGAAAAACATCTTTTCTCTGCGCTACAGACGTCGCTGTCGTTGTTGCGCCAAACGTTTGCGTTTCTGTGTTCTGGAGTAGAATTGCTTTCTGGGAGGATTTTTTGTGTAAAACCACCTCTAGGGCCAACCTTCGAGAAGCGTGGAACACAGTTTTGGAAATGTGGTGTAGTAAAGGGTGAATAGCGCCATTTCTCCGGTTTGGGAGACGGACAAGAAATAGCCTTTTACTCCATCAGGCGCGGCTTGCAGGGAGCTGTCGATTGGAGCACTGAAACTAATGTGAATCAAGCGAAGGCAAGACTCCATGCCGAGTAATATCGAGCTTTTCCGTCACTCTAACTATTAAATAGACGGCAGGCCGTGAAACTCGTCTCTCGCGTTCACGGCGTCGCTCCGCTTACGCATACGCGAGTATTTCGAATGCACTTGTCAGCCATAGTATCATTACAGTAACCACTATTTTATTTAGTGAAAAGATCCCTTCCACGCTCTGCCTGATTGCTAGATGACGATGGCTCAGTCACGGATAGTATGATACTCAATCCTATTAATTATTTAAAGGCTGAGCCGCACTCAAATTTAATTTGTTATGCGCTTAATACTATATAACAAGTAGCAAATGATCCCCTTATTAAGAAAATCATGAAGCAAGTCAGAAATGCTCTATATAGACGTCTTGCGTTAACTTGAAATTGTGCGTGCTCACGGGAAGACAGATAGGTGCGGTCGCCACGAGGTTCTCAGTTGGTGTATCATATGTTTTCCGCTAATCAGCCTCACCCTCATCCACTTGAGCTGGAATATAAAACAGCATGTGAGAACAAACCACCATCTGATAACCATTAGAATGAGTGAGATTCGCGGTGCCAATGTATGTAAGTGGGCCGAGGTGAAGGGAGAGAAGTGACGCATGCGAGCCTCCTCACTCGTTTTTGCGCCGCGAAAGTGGTGCCGTTGTTGCCCTTGCGAACCTGACTACCTGCTCACGAAGGGAGAAGAATATCTCAGCCTGAACGCAGACTCTGCCTTTAAGCAACAATTCATTTGTACCGAAGCAACACTTATTTTTTGGTTGTATTTTTCTGCATCATTGTCTCTCGTTCCCTAAAAGGGCTGCGTTTCAGTAGGTTTGCGCTTGCGAGCGGTGGCCACCAGCAAGAGCGTCTTATGCATCAGACGTTTTCGGTCATCAAAAGTAGAGAATTGCTTAGAGAGGAGCCAGCGTGGGTCAGCGTCCGCAGAGACTAGAAAGTATAGAGATCTAGCCAACGTGGCCGCCCAGCAGCGTCCTAGAGCGATGTAGGATGGGAAAGGAGAAGCAGGATGCTGTAGAATATTTGAAAGTAGGAGAGAGCAGACAGCTGGATTAGTAGTCGTGGAACTGCGGCATGTGCAGCCGCCCGCACTGCACACAACACCGTACATTATTGCATGATTCTGTGCTTCAGCAGTTGTCAAAGTGTGATCGCGCATGCTGCGATTTCACGACACCTAATTCAGTATCTGCTCTCTCCTACTTCCATCATGCTCGACCAATAGTGCTGCCCTCCTACTTTCCCATACTCTGCCAGTCTGCTACCTTCCTTCTCCCCCATACTCTCCACTCCTGGACGCTGGTGGACTCTGATAGACGCTGGTGGACGCTGGCGTTAGCGAGATCCATATCTATGCCTTTCCTAATCGCTGGCGCTGACAAACGCTCGAAAGCCTGGTGGTCGCTGGTGGACAGTCTACAAAGTATGAACGCAGCTTAAGCCTCTTTTTCCTTCTTTATTTCGGAACCTTTTCATTCAAGGAATATACCGACTCTTACAAACTTTTTTCAGCAATCCCTACCGAAGAGATGAAGGAAAGCGATATGGTCGTGGGTGTTGTAACACGTGGTGGCGGTCACACAGCTTTTTTGGAAAGTGCAAACCCCAATAAGGGCAGTTTAGTGGATCAGATTTTGATAGAATGGACGAATATGCTCATTAATAATCTTCAATAGGAATCTCTGACGTTATTTCATTAGTTTGTAGAAACACTAGAGACATTAGTAATTATTCACCGATTACTCATCTGTTTGTTCGGTAGACAAAATTAGAGTCCCGTTTTGTCTTTTACTTACATTTCTTTCTGTTATAGCGTTTAAGAAGTTGAAAGGTCGCTCCTGAGAGTATGTCCGGGGCTGACGCTAGCAGCTTTAGTGCTTGAGGGGCGTACCGTTCCTCTGTAAGCCCACTGCCTGCTGTCCGTGATCCTCCCCCGATGGCCCCGCCTCCTCCTATAGTGCGACCTCTGCTTGGAATATTTTACTTGTAGATGTAGAAGTCAGGCATTATGTATCTCAATTACAGAAACTCTTTATTTTGTTAGCCTGTATAATATAGATCAGATAGTTCAGGTTATGCACTGAGACAGATAGTTACTGATTTTCATCTCAGAGATCGAGCTTTGTTAAAATTAATGTTTTTCTCATACGTGGTACTAGACAAGTATAGAATGGTGTAGGTTTGTACTGCTGTGGAATTGTGCAGCATAGGGATCTAGCTAATTTATTGATAATAAAAATTTCCATGAAATCTTATCTGCATGATTGCTATCAAAGGTTGACTGCTAAAGACAGTACTAGTTCTTAAAGAAAGTTCCCACGCTCGCGTAGTTCGTAGCCGTCTTGTGGAAGTAGTCCAGCCCAAGGCTAAAAAAACTATACCACTTTCGCAACACCAGTGAGTGAGGAAAAAGCTTCAGCCGTCGGAAGTACTAGCTCTAACACCCGCCCAACTGGGTGTCAGAGCTAGTACTTCCCACCCAACGAACGCCCTCTTCATACCTAACGCAGCGGCGCTCAGTTGTTGTTTGGTGGATGGGCGGTAATAAATCTGGACCAGGTATCCATTTTTGTCGACCGTACTTGTGCTCATAAGTGATTCTGCTCTGGTTTTTTTTTCCATAATCTTCTTTGTGAGTACACAGCAATCCCTCTCGTAAGCTAAGACGTGGTCGATGCAATTGTTGATGCATTTGTTCAGTGCGGAAGCTCGAAATGCATTGTATCCGACTTTTGTAAACAATGATTTCAAAAGTCACTGTCTGTTACGCATTTTGCTTAAGTTTATTTGCTGTTTTCCGTTTTCCTTTCTTTGCACGATGAGCATCGCAGCGCTAGAACGCGAAAGGATTTGATGACCAGGGGTGCGTACTGACCAAGGTCGAGTTGGCAGCAGTCATACAAGAACTCATACACTTAGTGTGTGACTCGTCATTTGTTGTCAAGTGTGTACGAGCACTTGTTGCTGAGGACTGTTTTGGCTTTTTTTCTTCTTTAGGGAATCGCTTATCAGCAGCTGGTTCATAACTGAACACCCAATATCTATGACATTTGATCGCGGGAACTGTCTTCAAGAGTGGTAACTACATGCGTTCACCACATGGAAGGTGGAGCCGATACTTGCTGAGGCAATGACTGTTCCATGCAAGAACTGCCGGAATGGTGCTGATGTCACCTTTAAAGGCAAACTGCACAATCATTTCCATGGATGCAGATCTCTGCCGTGTGTGAGAAAAATGGATCCGCAGCTGCAGAAGCCTATCATTTTCTCCAGTATCCCGCAGCGAAACACGCACCCAGGTGTGGAGGACAGCCATGAGTGAGGGGGCGCCGACAAGGTATGACTCGACGTATGGCCGGCTGTGCGGCGCTGCGGGTGGAGTACGAAGACGGGATTGAGCTGTCACTAGCCTCTAGCACGTGTTTTTTTTGACTGGAGAAAGTAGGTCCCCACGGCAGCTACAAACCCGTTTTTTCCCCACACATGGCAATGACCAGGATCCAAAAGATGAGTGTAGATTTTCCCTTAGCCTATGGCAGCATTACGGCGAATCTTGCGTGGCATAACTGCTGCCCCGACAGGGATCGCTTCCACTCTCACGTGTGTGCAGACAACGACCCTGACTTTCAACCACATTACCGTTTCCAGACAACTAGACAACAACTTACATCGCTAGTTATCGCGCAAGTGGCCTGCAGCGTCATGGGGCGATCTCACGGGCTCGTCTTAGGGAACAGTAGCGTGTCGATTTTTGCGAAGTCTTGGTCGTTCTACTTTCCCCGGCTTTCTTTTTCGGGAATAAACAAGCAATAGCAGATTACTTCAGAAGGCACCTTTTTGCTCCGCTTAACTTGATCACCATTCATCAAAAGTTGGTCGTGCACAGCCTACCACGGGCCTAATTACGCAGTTTTCCAGCGCTATTTTCTATTGCGAGTTGTGTCTGTTTTTTCCCCTCGTTCGGGGTGTTTTTGAAGCTTTTTTGCTTAGTTTTTCATTGGAGAACCACGAACCTGGTCAGAGCATCTAATATCCATGATACTTTATCGCGGGCCTTGCATCTCATG